CCCCCACAACAGAATGCGATCACTCAGATTCTTCTACACAGATGTTCCTACGCAGTAATAGTTCCTAACAATTTCAGTAGTATTCGTTTTTATATTTCCTTGTCATCCAAATTTTAATGTAACTTTTCTGACCATCAGTGTAACCTAATTTTTCTGACCTTCAGAGTAACAAATTTCTTTACATTCAGTGTTACATAAATTTATTAAAAAAAAAATGAATGTTCTAATCTGATTTAACAATAATGTCAATAAAGAATGATAATAAATGTGACATGCCTCAACTCAAATATGTTTATTTAAGAGTACAAAATCATGTTCGACATTTCCTCACAATATAAAAGCACATAAGATTAAATGAAACAAATGTCCTCATATTCTTATCTCCTCCTATAAATAAAAAATAGAAAAAAATCATATAAAAAGTACCTACCATGTTCACAAGTAGCTCAGCTATCCTGTAAGTGATATAGGGGTGGATATAGCTTGACAAGGCCATCAATCAAAGTATGTGTCAACACTAGCCGGAACTGGACTTCTTGACCACTGCCTGGGGTGGACAAACTACCCTGACTCTGGACACTTGACCACTTGATCTGGTATACTGGACAGTTGTTCATAGCAGTATCAAACACATATGGTTGACTTCTGTCTCCTAAAGCTCACAACAAATATCTGATCTGTGTGGTTCAATATACAATACACTGGAGGGATTATTGTGTTCCTCATTGGAGTAGATACTGGTAAAGTATTGATCAGATAGATATGTATTATCATTATAAACTTTGGTAATATGGATTGATTTCTACTTCCTGGTCTTCATTTTAACTTAAAATTGTTTCTTTTTATCATTGTATCATCTATTTCATACAGCTTTTATCCATGACTTGTGCTTATCTGTGTATGTGTAATCAAAGGCTGTACTATTAGTGATAACAAGGCACCAGTTTTCAAGACTTTGATAAACATGATATTTTGTAATCTTAATACATAAGTCAGTTTAGATATGTTCGTTCCTGATCATATTTGATTATATTATAATCTCCCTAGCCGAGACGGTAGGAAGCGGCTAGTATTTTACCAGGGTGACACATTGTGTACCTTCACATGTGTAAAATTTGATTAAGGTAAAAAATCCACAATCACATAAGCCAATTTATTACTTGCGTGTACTATTTTTGCACTGGGCAAGACGTAATTTTTGTCAATGCATATTGGAAGAAAAAATAAAAACAAATGACATTGACTTCGTAAATTTTAAGCAATACACAGAATTAACTTTTGTATTTTCTGTTTTTGCAGGGTTGGATTTGCTGCTGAGCAGATAGCTAAGTGGGTTGGAGAAAGGACAGACATCCAGGTAATGTAGACTTATGAAGTATATATGCTGATATTACGACAGTAGAATTTCATTTTCTTATCATCAATAGATGTGTTTAAAAAAATATTTAAGAACTCAAATGATTGTTTATTTAGATGTTTCATCAGTATTGAAATTAGGTATTGATCGATACTTCTTTGATGCATGCATATTTTAACAACCAATATCTCCCTTCAAAATGACACCATTTTCTTTTATGTGTCTTATATTTGTATATTTATACATGAGTACCAAAGTATTATCTGCCTTCTACAGATAGAAGTGCCAATATCTTATTGCTATCCAAAGATATAAGAACAGGTTTGTGTGGAATAAACTTGGGTTTTATACAATCTGCAGGTGCAGTCAGATTTTTACAATGTGATTGTAAACTAAATATTATGTTAATTTTTCTCCTTCAACGATTTGTTTACTTCACTTTACTTGAAAATATGATTTTGAAAATACTAAACATAAAAAGCTTGCTGTTTTAATTATTGTGATAATGATGTTGGTTTACAGATCCGAGTGTTCCGTCCCCCCAACTACTCGGGAACCCTTGCCTTGGCCCTGCTCTTGTCTCTGATTGGTGGACTGCTGTACCTCAAAAGAAACAACCTGGAGTTCCTATATAACCGAACGTTTTGGGGGATCGGGGCCCTAGTAAGTGTATAACTGTGGCAGGTTTTAATTGTACATAGGATTGAGGTCACCTTCTAGCTTCAAGCTAGAGGGAATTTCCCTTTAGCTCAGTGGTAGAGCGTCCGACTAGGAACCTGGAGATCGAGGGTTTGATCCCCGGCGGAAGCACATGTACACTATTCTCTTTCATGTAACATAACAATCTAGAAACTGTTTCATGAAATTTGTTTTCAATTTCAAATTTATAAATTTGATCTGAATTAATTTTTTCTAATTAAGAATATGAAGGTGTTCGTTTGTTTATAAGTTAAGAACTAACTGGAAAACTTAAAATGTTAATGAATCTTGAAGTATGTAGCAGTTCAAGGGAGGTAATTCATTTTAAGTGCTGATGTTTGGCATTGTTGAAACAGATGCATCACATATGTGTTGTGAAGGTGTAGATTTATACACAAGTATCTTACTTTTAAGGCATGTAGTATATATACTCTGAGGCTTGTATCAAGTGTTAGAGCAGCCTACCATTGGTAGATACATTTACGAGAGATGAAATATTGGCAACTTTTGAAGAGCCATGAAAAAGTCAGTTAATTAAACTTGTTGATAGCAACATTTGATTTTCTAGGAAGGGAAATACATATATCAGATATGTGCATTGAAAATAAATACAAATTTTTTTTTCAGTGTATCATCTTTGCGATGACGTCTGGGCAGATGTGGAACCACATCAGGGGCCCTCCTGTCATGCACAAAAACCCACAAACTGGACAAATCGTATGTACCATTCTACTGATCCTTTCTTTACCTTCTTCAGTTAATTTACTCATACTGGTAATCCTTGATGGTGCTGTGTACACAAGTTATCTTTTCTGTCATTGTAGGAAATATTATCCAGGGAGTAATAGGGATTGAAGAATACTGTCATTTTGGATATTATCTATGATTAGTAATTAACTGTATTAGAGTTTGTCCCATGGTAGGTTTACAATAACTGTTATTCATTTTGATATGAATTTTACAAATGGATAGATTGACCTCTTTTGTTGTATAACATTTCACCTAATTCATTCCCAGTGTTTTGAGATCTGCAGGACAAGGGTTAAGTTATCAGGGGAAACCCAACAGTATGTATTGTATCTGTTGATTTTTTACTCCCATTACTTACGATAAGCAGAATGGTGGTATGACAACGAAGCGTTAAAACCAAGATGTTAATTATTCAATGTTTTGTATATATATGAACTGTTCGTCCAAAGTACTCAACTATAGAGAAACCTACACAACCAGCAATTCCTGCAAGGGTTACCAGTTATGAATTTCAATATGGTTATGGAAACTAATTGAATGGTTAAGGATGATCTTAAAATGTTGCATCTGTTTTATTTGAAGTGAATACATGTAAAGACAGAAGAAACGTATTGGTATATTTATCAGTTTTGTGATAAGAAGCAAGTTATTTGTTCTTTTTGTATATTATTTTTGAGAGAGAAGTTACAATGAACTTTACATGGTACATTCATTTATTCATCTTTGAAACGTCTTTTATATACAGGTATGTAAAAAAGTAAAATTTCATACCAAAATATTCTGCTTTAGATTCCAAGAAATAAACTTGGTTTCTTCAAATTTTAAGAATAATATATTTCTACATTGCCCCTTATAATTATGCTCCAGATCAAAGTTAAAGGGAGGAGAAATGTGGGGAAATACTGGAATCAGGGTCTCTGTTCATTTATCTATGGACTGAATATTGTCAGATGCTTTGGATACTTTTCTTGACCAAATTTGTATGAAACTTGGCACACATGATAAGCACTTAAGGTATCTGTGTGCTTGTCTTTTCTTATGACTGTTTTATTGAAGTACTGCCTCTTTCCTGATTTCTTTATATATAAATTTTTCCCTTAAGATTTGCTGCTTACTTTCTTTACTTGTATTTATGAACCTTGCTACACATAACTGGTACCTTAAGTGATTGTATTTTGGTACATCAGTCTTTTTCCCCCAAAGTATTTTAGGAAGTAATGTCCCTTTTCTGAAACTCCTACATGGGAGTGGTAGTATCTGCCTGTGGCTTACAACTCGAGTTTATAAATTGGTTCTGAAACATCTCAGTGTTGAGGTACATCTTAAGGGAACAAAGGTTCGTTATTTCAATAGGTACCATCAAGTAGAAATATTTCAGGTCTCTTTTTATGAAAACAAACTAACCAAGAGGTGATTGATTTTTGGTGATTTGGTGGTGATTGTGTATGCATTGTTTGTTATTTATTTCCAGAACTACATTCATGGCAGTAGCCAGGGACAATTTGTTGCAGAGACCTACATTGTATTTTTGTTGAGTATCCTTACAGCCAGCTCTAAACACCCTTGAAGTGAAGGTGTGGCTATGTATATGTTGTCTACACCAGTGTAGTAAAAATGTCACTTTGTCTGGTGTATAAACCTACATCTTCTTACACACTGGGAACTCTCCATTACGGAGGCTTTATTTTCTGCATATAATTGTCAAAAAGATATTTTTTTTCAGTATCATGTAGCAGAATTGCTCTATATGGAAGAGTTCCTAAAATATTTGTCAAGTATTTTCTGCATATAATTGTCAAAAAGATGTTTTTTCTCAGTATTATGTAGCAAAATTGCTCTATATGGAAGAGTTCCTAAAATATTTGTCAAGTATTTTCTGCATATAATTGTCAAAAAGATGTTTTTTCTCAGTATTATGTAGCAAAATTGCTCTATATGGAAGAGTTCCTAAAATATTTGTCAAGTATTTTCTGCATATAATTGTCAAAAAGATGTTTTTTCTCAGTATTATGTAGCAAAATTGCTCTATATGGAAGAGTTCCTAAAATATTTGTCAAGTATTTTCTGCATATAATTGTCAAAAAGATGTTTTTTCTCAGTATTATGTAGCAAAATTGCTCTATATGGAAGAGTTCCTAAAATATTTGTCAAGTATTTTCTGCATATAATTGTCAAAAAGATGTTTTTTCTCAGTATTATGTAGCAAAATTGCTCTATATGGAAGAGTTCCTAAAATATTTGTCAATAATACAGTATTTGGATTGCCAGTAGAATGTCCCAGTACAGTGTAGGTTTCATGATTCTGCTGGAGAATAAACATAAAAAATGAAAAATTGATTTAATGCTATGGCATGAGTTAATTTTTTTAATGGTAGGCAAGATCATCTCAGGGCAGTTTGTACGAGTTTATATATTGAATACTGACCTAATATCAAAGTTTTACTTTCTACACAAACAATGTGTACATTGTTACATATTTTCAAACTGATGAATCTTATTGAAGAATACTGACTTGTATATATCAATAGTAGTTAATTTAAAAAAAACTGCCATTGTTTCAGGGTGATAATACCTGGTATATCACTTCACTTGGCAATTTAGTGATCAGACTACACTTACTTGACAATAGTATCAAAGCAGGATGAATTTGTATCTTTGATGTACAAAGCACTAAGCAAATAAAGCAAAAATCTTAAATTTTTGAAGTAAAGGATTTGGTCATTATCAGCATTTTTGTATCTGTACAAACAGATTTGTTCATTTAATTAATATATATACATCTGTATATATATTTATTATCCTTTGATTATGTAGTTCAAGAGTGATATGGACAGAAACAATGTAGAAACAATGTTAAGCTTGTGGCTTTGTGGAATGTGGGATTATTTTATGGTTCTCCATGTAGTTCTACAGACTGCCTTTCTGTGACCACCTACACAGTGATGTTATGGTGAGATGTATATGGCACCGTCGTTTACATGGACACATGTCTAACTGTTATACAGAGGATACAGCCATACACATACTCTAATTTAAAGTATTTACTGTGTTGCATGCTAAATGTCTGTTATATATTGATGTATTGTTACATTCATTGTTTTAACCTTTCTGTAGCTTTCCATTTACCTTGTAGCTTTCCATTTACCTTGTAGCTTTCCATTTATCTTGTAGCTTTCCATTTATCTTGTATCTTGTAGCTTTCCATTTATCTTGTAGCTTTCCATTTAGTTTTTCTACTTGGTAATACTTACTTGATATTTAAACATGCTTACTGCAGTCTTGTGCCAGAACAAAACCAATTCTTGTCCACTGACTTTAATAACAACTTTTTTTTCCCTGTAAAACATACCTGACAGAAAACTTGTTTCCAAGGCATGTTGTATAGTTTGTATTACCTGTGTGACCCTGACATGTTGTATGATTAGTTTTACCTGTGTGACCCTGACATGTTGTATGATTAGTTTTACCTGTGTGACCCTGACATGTTGTATGATTAGTTTTACCTGTGTGACCCTGACATGTTGTATGATTAGTTTTACTTGTGTGACCCTTAAATGTTGTTTCATTAGTTTTACCTGTGTGACCCTGACATGTTGTATGATTAGTTTTTCCTGGGTGACCCTGACATGTTGTATGATAAGTTTTACCTGTGTGACCCTGACATGGTGTATGATTAGTTTTACCTGTGTCACTCTGACATGTTGTATGATTAGTTTTGCCTGTGTGACTCTGACATGTTGTATGATTAGGTTTACCTGTGTGACCCTGACATGGTGTATGATTAGTTTTACCTGTGTCACTCTGACATGTTGTATGATTAGTTTTACCTGTGTGACCCTGACATGTTGTATGATTAGTTTTACCTGTATGACCCTGACAGGTTGTATGATTAGTTTTACCTGTGTTTTAAGAGATCTGTGTTGGATATAATTCGGTTAGGGTAGAATATTCAGTTAAACTTCCATAAATTGAACTTTGAAGATTCAAACTTCTCGATGTTTTGAACTTCCGGCAAATTCCAGAATTTTCCTCTCATATTATATTATTAATATTCTTTTCATGAATCAAATTTGATTAGAAATCCAATATTGATATTTTAAAATGTATTGTCTTAGCCTGTGTTCCATCACATATTGAAATAATCACATTCTGTCTTATTAACAGGACCTCGATTTTCAATATTTGTGAGTTGAAGTCCCCTGTTTCTAATTTTTCCAGATGATTCTACAAAGATCGAAACTTGGAAGTTTGACCGTACTTAATATATAGTAAAAATATTATTCCTCTTAGTGCTATCGAACTTTTGTTTCATTGGCTTATTCTCTATAATGTATCACATTGTCGCTTACTTCTTTCTGTTGCTTTATGCTGCTTATTGTTTTGTCTCTGCCATATAATAGTGGGAGGGAGAGTATTAAGTGTTGCCCATGTCTGTCCCATGCCGTGCCGTCCTGATTCAATGTAAAGTTCTAGTGTTGCCCATGTCTGTCCCATGCCGTTCCGTCCTGATTCAATGTAAAGCACTAGTGTTGCCCATGTCTGTCCCATGCCGTCCCGCCCTGATTCAATGTAAAGTACTAGTTTTGCCCATGTCTGTCCAATCCCGTCCTGTCCTGATTCAATGTAAAGTTCTAGTGTTGCCCATGTCTGTCCCATGCCGTTCCGTCCTGATTCAATGTAAAGCACTAGTGTTGCCCATGTCTGTCCCATGCCGTCCCGCCCTGATTCAATGTAAAGTACTAGTTTTGCCAATGTCTGTCCAATCCCGTCCTGTCCTGATTCAATGTAAAGTACTAGTGTTGCCCATGTCTGTCCCATGCCGTCCTGTCCTGATTCAATGTAAAGTTCTAGTGTTGCCCATGTCTGTCCCATGCTGTCCCGTTCCGATTCAATGTAAAGTTAGTGTTGCCCATGTCTGTCCCGTCCCGTCCTGATTCAATGTAAAGTACTAGTTTTGCCCATGTCTGTCCAATCCCGTCCTGTCCTGATTCAATGTAAAGTTTTAGTGTTGCCCATGTCTGTCCCGTCCCGTCCTGATTCAATGTAAAGTACTATTGTTGCCAATGTCTGTCCAATCCCGTCCCGTCCTGATTCAATGTAAAGTTCTAGTGTTGCCCCTGTCTGTCCCATGCCGTCCCGTCCTGATTCAATGTAAAGTACTAGTGTTGCCCATGTCTGTCCCGTCCCGTCCCGCCCTGTCCTGATTCATTGACATCAGATGAGTTTGTGTTTTAGGATTCCAAGGTCAAGGCTAAGGTCACTATTGCTATTTATAGGAAATCATCAACAGATTAAGTGTCATCAGTTAGCCAGCTTCTTTTTCCGATGGATTTCGATCAAACTTTATACAAAGGTCAAGTATGAGAATACCTTTGACATCACAGTGTTTTAGGGTCTCAAGGTCAAGGTCAAGGTCAAGGCCAAGGTCAAGGCCAATGTTGCTGTATATAGAAAATTATCATTTGATTCATTGTCCTCACTCTAGCTACTTAATTTCTTAACAGATTTTCATCAATGTTTTTACTGATTTCTAGTAGGATAATACCTTGAATGGGTACATATTTCAGCTTGTGGTTGTAACCATTTGCAGAACATGATCAAACTCTGAAACTAATTTCACATGACAACGGGGGAATTTATGCCTTACAGACATTTTCTTGTTTTGTATTGTTTCACATTGATGTTTTGTTGTTTTTTGTGTGTGTTAATTTTCACTGTTTTATTTAATGTTGCTTTTTCACTGCTTTTCCCTGTATTTTTTTACTTCGTTTCACGTTATTCTGCTTATCCGTTTCAGTTTCATCCAGAGCTGTTAAAACAAACCATATTGGAGTCCCTTATACTTTTAGGAATTAGTATCTTTGATATTACAGTGTTTTTTTTGTTTCTTAATTTCTTTTTCCTACACTATTTCCGCCACAGGGGAATACAGGAAGCTTGGCACTAATAGTTCATCATGGTTTTTTATCAGCAGCAGTTCAAAAGAAATTATTCAATATATTATATTACATCAGCAAGAATTGCAAAAATATCTCAAAAAATTTAAAATGAACTTTTGAAGTATTAATTAAGAAGATTTATTTTGAAAGAAAAAAAAAGTACAAATGTTAGTCAGTGTTGGATTTCAGGAATAAGAATTCAGTGATGGGAACAGACTGTTTTCTGAGCATGATAACATTATTTGTGTTTCTGGTACACCATTATTACCAGGTATATCAATAATTGATATAATGTCAACAATAACATCAAAAGCTACTATGATGTTAACAAAAGGTATTGCTGGTGAACACAACATGTATCAAGTTTCCTGTGACCTACACATTATTAATGACTTCCTGGTTTTATTTTTCTGTTCCACATTTGCATCCTTTACTAACTCTTTTGTGATTGATTTCTACAGAATGGGTATGGCAATTGAATTATTCATTGATGACCTAGACATTTAATCTATTAGAAGTAATTCTGGGATTGTACATAGGTTGCATTTCCCTATACTTTTGTGTGGACTAACCAGAAAGTATGTGTATAGGAGTTTGTTTGTGGCCCTTTGAATATTTGATGAGTAAAGTGTCTGGTGATATGGTATTGTTTACATGTTTGGTTTGGTGTCTGGTGATATGGTATTGTTTACATGTTTGGTTTGACGGGTCGTTATTAACTTGTCCTACCTGCTTTATGTGATCATGGTTTGTAGGTGGGTAACATGATATCCTCTATGTTGAGCGATAGCTATGTAAGCCTGCTGGACCATGTCTGTATTCATAAAACCAATCAATAAAACATGTGGAATAAGGATGGAAATAAATAGTATTATTAGATTAATCAAGGGACTGCAAATATGAAAGGGTTAATATTAAACATTTTACATTATTTATTGTGACTATATTTATTTTAGGAGCTTGAAGGTATCAATTTTTCTTGTACTTTTTTCAAAGTTTTCACAGTATAATTTCAAACACTTTCCTTTTGGTGAAAGAAAATGCATGTGCATGAAATGGAACATGAATCTCCATCAAACATGTACAACTTTGGGTGTGACCTTGGTATGACCTTGGTGTGACCTTAAGTGACCTTAACTCATACAATCAGATGCAGCAGTGGTTGGAGGATTTGTGATGCTCAACGAGGCTAACATGGTCAAGAGCGACTCGGGAAAGAAACGAAGTACGTATATCATAACATAATGTCCTACAATCAAATTACAGGAAGTAAGTATACAATCTTTGAACCCCCTCTCCCACCATCCACTCCCCCACACACTCTCCCAACTCCCTTCTCTAACACATGTATCACTACTGAGTATTAACCTCCCCCCCCCACCTCCCATCCCTGATAAATATACCACTATTGAGTGACAACCTCCCCCCTCCACCTCCTATCTCTGATAAATATACCACTATTGAGTGACATTCCCCCCCCCCTCCCATCCCTGATAAATATAATACAACTATTGAGTGACAATGCCCCCCTCCCAGCTCTGATACATGTACCTCTTTCGAGTGTTCCCCATCCCTATCCATCCCTGATAAATATACCACTATTTAGTGACCATCCTCTCTCCCATCCCTGATAAATATACCACTATTGAGTGACAATCCCCCCTCCCAGCCCTGATAAATATACCACTATTGAGTGACAATCCCCCCTCCCAGTACTGATATAGGTACCAATCCCCCCCTAATCTCCCCTCCCAGCCCTGATATAGGTACCACTCCCCCCCCTAATCTCCCCTCCCAGCCCTGATATATGTACCACTTCTCCCCTAATCTCCCCTCCCAGCCCTGATTTATGTACCACTTCTCCCCCTAATCTCCCCTCCCAGCCCTGATATATGTACCACTCCCCCCCCCTAATCTCCCCTCCCAGCCCTGATATACGTAACACTTCTCCCCCTAATACCCCTTCCCAGCCCTGATATATGTACCACTTCTCCCCTAATCTCCCCTCCCAGCTCTGAGATATATATACCACTATTGAGTGACAATCCCCCCTCCAAACCCTGATGAATATACCACTATTGAGTGACAATGCCCCCTCCCAGCCCTGATAAATATGCCACTATTGAGTGACAATGCCCCCTCCCAGCCCTGATAAATATGCCACTATTGAGTGACAATGCCCCCTCCCAGCCCTGATAAATATACCACTATTGAGTGACAATCCCCCCTCCAAACCCTGATGAATATACCCCTATTGCGTGACAATGCCCCCTCCCAGCCCTGATAAATATGCCACTATTGAGTGACAATGCCCCCTCCCAGCCCTGATAAATATGCCACTATTGAGTGACAATGCCCCCTCCCAGCCCTGATAAATATGCCACTATTGAGTGACAATGCCCCCTCCCAGCCCTGATAAATATACCACTATTGAGTGACAATCCCCCCTCCCAGCCCTGATATAGGTACCACTTCTCCCCCTAATACTCCTTCCCAGCCCTGATATATGTACCACTTCTCCCCCTAATACCCCTTCCTAGCTCTGAGATATATATACCACTATTGAGTGACAATCCCCCCTCCAAACCCTGATGAATATACCACTATTGAGTGACAATCCCCCCTCCCAGCCCTGATATAGGTACCACTTCTCCCCCTAATACCCCTTCCCAGCCCTGATATATGTACCACTTCTCCCCCTAATACCCCTTCCTAGCTCTGAGATATATATACCACTATTGAGTGACAATCCCCACTCCAAACCCTGATGAATATACCACTATTGAGTGACAATCCCCCCTCCCAGCCCTGATATAGGTACCAATTCTCCCCCTAATCTCCCCTCCCAGCCATGATATAGGTACCACTTATCCCTCTAATACCCCTTCCAAGCCCTGATATAGGTACCACTTCTCCCCCTAATCTTCCCTCCCAGCCCTGATATAGGTACCACTTCTCCCCCTAATACCCCTTCCCAGCTCTGAGATATATATACCACTATTGAGTGACAATCCCCCCTCCCAGCCCTGATAAAGGTACCACTTCTCCCCCTAATACCCCATCCCAGCCCTGATATATGTACCACTTCGCCCCCTAATCTCCCCTCCCATTCCATTCCTCTCTATACATAGTGCCTTCCCCCTAATCTCCCCTCCCATTCATTTCCACTCTATACATAGTGCCCTATTTGCTGATATATTCCGTACTGTGTATGACAAAGTCAGCAGACCAAAGTTCGAGAAATCTTGATTTGAAGACTCCACCTAGAAAAAAAACTTCAGTTCATAAGCTCCTCGCTACTTCATTTCTAGCGTTACTTAACAGTTATTCTGAAAAACTTTAAAATCTTATATGACAGTATAAGAAAATTCAGGTCTGACTCTGCTACAAGTCAAATATAAAGCTTTATCTACATGGTTTTCATATCTTTTCAGTTTTAGCTGTGGTGGGACTTGGCTGTGTGGTGTTTTTCTTTAGTTTACTACTGTCCGTATTTAGGTCAAAGTACCAGGGATACCCATACAGGTAAGGCACTATGTTCATTGTTGATTAAAAAGCTTCTCAATATATGTAAAAAATATCAATTGTGGAACTTTTTATTTTATCTGGGAACAAATACAATACAATTTGAAGCTGCAGAACATTTGAATATGTCATTAGATCCAAATTACTTGTTTTTTAATGATTCAAGTTTGTTTTTTATGAGATTCATGTGATGTAAAATGTATTTATGATGTATGTAATAGTTATTGTTTTAATTAAAATGAAGAAATCCTTTTGATTTTTATCATGCCATACACATAAATGAATTTTGATCTGGAGAATTTTTGTTTTATTGACATTTTACTTTTTCCTAGCTTCCTGTTCAAGTAAGAAGAGTGCTTTGTGTTTGAAGAGGACATCCAATGTGTGTGTGTGGACGGTACATCGAAGGATGAGATAATATACTGTTGCTGACTATGGTTGAGGGAGACAGGTGTTTTACAGGACCACAAGCTAGACTGTTGTCTTCAGCCTGTGTCCAAGAGCAACAGTTTCAGCATGGAACCAAAGAAACATCTGTCACTGGAAATCCCAGTGGGCAGCCGTTTAGTTATTAGTCAGATTGTAAATTTGTCCACGAACTTTGTTTATCCAACCAAACAGTGAAGACTTTTTTTTTTATACATCACCAATCGGATATAATTACACTACAAATATTCTGTCGAATATGATGGTTAATACGCCCTGTCTACAGGACAACAAAAAAATAATGACAACAGTAAATAAGTCTATTCAATCAAAACATCAATTTCATCATATAGTAATGTTTGCATTTCCCTATAGTCTTGTTTTAGAATTTGTTGGGGATAATATTTATGAGAGTGCTGCTGATTCATCAAGTTTTTACCAGTATGCTGGAGAGTGTGTGGTGTACTCTAAGCTGTGTACAGATGTGATTGTGGTTGTCCTACAGGGGGGTAGTGGTTGTTCAGCTGTGTGGGAGTATGTGTAGAGAGTTGAATAACATGATGATGGCTGGTTTGATATATATTTTTTGTTTAGATTTATATTACAAGTATGAAAATAATGGAATCACATTAATCAGATCACATGTTTTTATGATGTTTTTTTTTGAGAGGATTTTGAGGAGGGATATTTAACAAAAGCATCAAAAGAGTTTAACTTCCTCATTATAAGCATGCAGACAGCAAATCACATAGATCATGAATATCTAACTTTAATGTGCCTCCACAATACATTTTAAAACGTTTTTCTGCTAATACTTATGTAGATTTGTAATATTCATTCTTAATAGCCAATTTTAACACAGGGATTATTACAGTGAACAGAAAAATTACGTTTAGACTGTGTAAGTTTTTTAAACATTGGGACAGGTACACAGGAATGATTATTGATATTGTATTAATAGAGACTTATGGGGCAGGCTAGACAAAATTGTTTTGGGGTGTGGAAAAGTATTTGGTGTTTTCATACTTTATTAATTTGAGTACAAAACACACTGTGTTTGTGATCTCCACAGAATCCTTTTAAAAATACTGTTGATAGGTAGAATATTTCAATAAAAATATATAATGTTAATATATCATAGTTAACTACATGTACTGAGAAATTGTGAAGTCATACCTGTCTGTCTATATGGATTCTTTGTAAGACCTTGTCGGAAGTCTTTGTGCAATGTTGGTGTATAGCATGTCAAATACTGCCTTCCTACCAGAGCAATCCTCCATCCGTTATTTTGAATAGGTTTGTACCTTTCATTCAATAATTTAATAATTCTCCTTCGATATTGTTTTGTTACTGTTATTAGGATAGGATTATTGATGCTGAAAAATGTTTGTTTGAAATCACATTTTGATCCTGTAAATTAAGATCAACAGAGCTAGTCACCATTTATGGTACATTATAATGAATCTAGGAACAGCTAATTTCTCTGTGACTTTGAAACATTTTAGCCCAGTGTTAGTGTTATGTGTTGTGGTTATATTGTTTTCTGGTATACTTACTATGATCAAGAGACACATGGAGAGTTTTCATCAGTGATATTTATCTGAATGCATATTTTCGGGTTTTTATTTTGACATAATAGATGATAAAATAATAAAAGTATCAAAAACATAAAAAGCTGAATTCAAATTCCTGTTTTGATGTTATAAATTTTCATTTTTCTGTTAATTCAAGAATTTAAATTAGCTGGAGTCAACACGTATATTCTTGTATGTCCTCTATTGTTAATTCAGTTGCTAATTGCGTTACTATTTGTAAAGGATGTTATTAAGATATTTGTCTCGCCGCCACAAAGTAGAAGTGAGACTATGGTGTTGCTTTTCCAGTGATGGCGGCAGCGTCAACATTAAGTTTTTGCATTTAAGTAAGTTTCACTGAAAGTATAAGTGCTACACCAACCAATCTTGCACCATGCATGCATCTTAGGTAGTACATCTCAACCCATGCATCAAATGCTGGGTGCGGCCTATCTTTCATGGTCCATTGACTTTGTCAGCATCTCCATCAACATTAAGTTTTTGAGTTTAAGTCAGTTTCTCTGATATGTGTATTGATGGTTAACACGGGGCATAGGCGAGACATCAATCCTAATGGCTTGTTTAATGTAGAATTGGTTTGGATGGGAGATACAAAGGTAACAGTGAGCATTCAGTGAACAGATATACAAATGTACAGGGATATACATATTATTGGGAGTTAACATCCAAATCCATTTTTACTTCAGTCAGTTGGATTTGGCTTTACCAGAGCCTTACTACATGTACATGAATAGACTGTTTCATTTATCAGACATTTAAGAAAGCATATATTTAAATCAGATGGTGTTTAATTGGCGTATTTGTTAGTAGTGTGTTGTCTATATGTTAAATGTGTTAATTAAAAGTATATTGATTTTTATATTTTGTTGATTTTATTAGATTTAATGTAAATCTCTTGATATGTATTGCGTACATGATGGGAAGAAAAGAAAATGAGAATAAAATCATAAACTGACAATAATGGCATTTCTGTTCATTTTTGCGATGGTGTGGTGTCCGTCCTTCCTTCGGTCCGTCGTCCGTCTGTCCGGCGTCAACTTTTTACTTTAAACAACTTCTTTTCAGTAACCAAAAGGCCTAGGATGATGATATTTGGCCAGTAACATGATGGTATCAAGGGCTACCAAGTTTGTTCAAATGAATGACCTTCATCCATTTTCAAGGTCACAGGAGTCATATATGTTAAAATCTTTGAACGACTTCTTCTGAAGAACCAAGAGGCCTAGGGTGATGATATTTGCCCAGTAACATGCTGGGATGAAGGGCTACAAAGTTTGTTCAAACAAATGATCTTCTCCCATTTTCAAGGTCACAGGGGTCAAATATGTTTAAAACCTTTAAAACAACTTCTTCTGAATACCTAAGAGGCAAAGGATTATGATATTTGGCCAGTAACATGCTGGGATGAAGAGCTACCAAGTTTGTTCCAATGAATGACCTTCATCTATTTTCAAGGTCAAGGGTTCAAATATGTTAAAAACCTTTAAACAACTTCGTCTCAATAACCAAAAGGCCTTAGATGATGATATTTGGCCAGTAACATGCTTGGATGAAGAGCTACCAAGTTTCTTCAAACGAATGACCTTCATCAATTTTCAAGGTCACAGGGGTCAAATATGTTAAAAACCTTTAAACAACTTCTGAATACCCAAGAGGCGTAGGATAATGATATTTGTCCTGTAACATGCTTGGATGAAGGGCTACCATGTTTGTTCAAACAAATGACCTTCATCTATTTTCAAGGTCACAGAGGTTAATATGTTTAAAACCTTTAAAACAACTTCTTCTCAATAACCAAACGGCTTTGGATGATGATATTTGGCCAAGAGCATGCTGGGATGAAGGGCTACCAAGTTTGTTCAAACAAATGACCTTCGCCCATTTTGAAGGTCACAGGGGTCAAATATATTTCAAACCTTTAAACAACTACTTCTGAATACCCAAGAGGCAAAGGATAAAGATATTTGACCAGTAACATGCTTGGATGAAGGGCTACCAAGTTTGTTCAAACGAATGACCTTCATCTATTTTCAAGGTCACAGGGTTCAAATATGTTAAAAACCTTTAAACAACTTGTTCTCAATAACCAAAAGGCCTTAGATGATGATATTTGGCCAGTAGTATGCTAGGAGGAATGACTACCAAGTTTGTTCAGACGAATGACCTTGACATATATTATAGGTCACAGGGATCAAATATGTTTAAAACCTTTAAACGACTTCTTCTCAATAAGCAAAAGGCTAAGGATGATGATATTTGGCCATTATTAATACATGCTGGGATTAAGAACTACTAAGTTTTTTAAAAGAATGACCTTCGCCCATATTCAAGGTCACAATGGTCAATATATGTTTAAATCTTTAAATGACTTGTTCTGTATAACCAAAAGGTCCAGGGTAATGATATTTTGCCAGAAGCATGCTGGGTTGGACGACTATAAACTCTGTTCAATCTTATGTCCTTGCTCGACATTCAAGGTCACAGGCGTCATATGTTAAAGTCTTTTAATATGTTCTTATGAGTAAAACACTGATATTCTGCCTGTAGCTGTATTTTTGTCCACTTTTAAGATTGTTTGTGTGAGATTAATACCAGGTGAGCGATTCAGGCCCATTGGGCCTCTTGTTCATCAAAATCGTGGTTTCATTGTAAAATGGAACTTTTAGGTTGGCATGTAATGTGTGCTAATCTCATTAGTCTGTTACATCATCTATATAGTAGAATAAAGGTCATGTTATATCTGAGATTGAGGTTTAACTGTGTGAGTTTTACTGTGTAAGTGATGCCATACATGAGAGATAGGTCGATGGTATAATCAGAAAAACAATAATACTGGAAATAAAACAAAACTCAATTACTTTGGACAAAAAATGGAAACGTTTTATTATGGCATACAAAGCATATAATACATTATGGTATTTCAATTAGAAGTTAATATCTTGTGTCAACAAGTATGAACTTAAATGAGATTCCTATGTGATGATCGAATGACATTGAATGAATGTTTGACCGTTACTATTTACAAAATTATGGTAACTCAAACAAATATGTCTGTCCATATGTCTAGCCCCCTATACAGGTTTCAACTAAAATGTTGCTTTTTAATTGAGAAGTTCTAACATAGGTTTAACATAATGCTTGGTTTGGAGGTTAGGACTATTATCCGTTCAATTGTCTCTCTTGTAAAATTCTGGAAATACATAGATCCTTTGGGAAACCTACGACAGAGGTTTGGGAAGTAGGTATAGGAAGAGAAGAGAAAAACCACGAAGACTGGACTACCTAGACGATTGAAAGTTTATTCCAGCACCGAGTACTTCCTCGAGTTAATAGTCTGATATAACACTTACAAATGTATAGAGAGTAAGATAATCTGTTGAACATGTTTCTACACATGATCATATTGTTCAGAAACCAGGAAGTGTTGAGTACCGTTCTCTGGTGCCCACACCAGACTTTTGTCATTGACAGGTATATGTCTGGTGTATTAGAACACATAAGTAGTTTCCAAGCAGGAAAGAATAGTAGGTGAATTATGTTGCCAACAAATTTGTGAATTTTGGACCAGTGTCCTTGAAGTGTGCACAAAAACGTGTTTGGTTTGTCAGGTAGATGGAGCGAAACATACAGTCCAATATTTTTTTTACAAAAAAATATACATTATTGTTTAAAAAGACACTGTTTTTCTAACAACGT